ATGGTTAAACATACGAAATTGAAACTTTGCACAAACATTTATGACAAGTAGACAAAACTACAAAAAAATTATGACGATTTTTCGAATTCATAAAACAAAATGGCGGCCATTTAAAATTTTCTTTCTTAAATAACTCAAAAACCATTGATTTTACAAAAATTTTAAATGGCCGCCATTTTGTTTTATGAATTTGAAAAATCATGAAAATTTTTTTGTAGCTTTGTCTAGCTGTCATAAATGTTTGTGCAAAGTTTCCATTTCGTATCTTTAACCATTCTTTAGAAAAAAATAAATAACTGAAAAAAACAAAATGGCGGCTGTGTGAGTAACTAAGGACTTCCGGACAGTTTAAATATAATATTTAGTTATGTTTCTTACCCAGGAGCAATGCCCTAAAATATTGGTAGAGAGTTCCGGGACACCCTGTATATAATACGCTAAGCCGATTTTTGTAAACAGAACTCCTCCCTCATTTTTGGACCGATTTTGATGATTAAAGTGTCAAATGAATGGCCCTGATCTGTAGTTTTGCAAAGTCTTTTTCATTTTTTGAAATCTTTATTAGTTTGGGCAGGATCTTCCATCAAAGTTGGATTTTCTCCCATAAGATTAACATGGGGGAATCTAAATATTTAATTGGAAACTTTGTCTCCATTAATTTGAGAGAACGACTGGGCGTAGAAACTTGGTAGAGGTGTCCAAAGAACGGTCTTGGTCTCTAGATGAGTTACCAAAAGAAAAACTAAGTGAAGGGCCAGTTAGGGCTCTGCCCCAGAAGCCCTTAAAGATCCCTTCACAGATTTGTTTACATTTTGTCCATGTGGATAATAATACTTTTTAATGAAACAGCTGTTAATTTTTGAATTGTATTTTAAACAACACACATTTATTGGGAGTTACTGAATTGTCCAAAAGAAGTATTTGCAATGTTATTTTCTGATTTGAAATTGATTTTCTTCTGTATCATGTCATATTTTGCAATATAACGTTCCATTACGAAATCAGTGGAACATCCTTTCATCACAGTAACTCTTATTTAACAATTATTTCTTATTGAACTATCTTATATCTATTGTACGGGTTGATGTCTGCCTTTTTCACCCCTTTTGGCTATACACACACACACACAAACACTCACACAAACTCACAAACTTTCAGATTTATAATATTAGTAAGATATTATTCTAGACAGATCATCATAGGTTCATGAGATTATTGTCATACATGTTTTCAATCATTGGAAAAATCTTCGATTGTGTAATACAATACAAAATAATACAAGTGCAGAAGTGTCTTTTAGCTTTAACATTAACCACACAACCGATTTCTCAAAACTATACTAGAGGGTAATTCATTGGCACAGACGTACGATATCCCCACAACCAATTTCTTAAAACTATACTAGAGGGTAATTCATTGGCACAGAGGTAAAATATGAACTGATGCGACGTGACGAAGGAAAAATCAAACTTATACTGTGACGGATGGACCTCCCTTTCAAGTTAGAACGTGTCTCCTCAACAAGCAGATATTTTATCTAAAATAAAATCATAGATTAATCTTTATCACACTGATGAAATCGGGGAAGTTTTTAACTAAAAAAGATCCGCCAATACGATTTTAATACTATTTAAAGGTTTTTCCAAAGTATGGGAAATATTTTATTCGTTGAATGATCAACCATATTATTTGGTAACTAACGCAATTAATATCATTATTGATTTACACTTATTACTCTTTAAACAATGCTAAATGCTCAAAATATTTATAATTTCACTCAATTTATCGCAGTTAGATGAATTAGCGTAAGCCTTGAAAGTAACCTAGTACTGTATAACATTCTAGTAACTCAGCAGTCTCCAACCAGTATAGTATGGCAGTGGCTGGAGGATGGCTCCAGCGAGTTTTTTTCTTAATGGCAGGTCTTTCGACCACGGTGCTCAAGATTACATAGTAATTTGGACCTGAAGGTCTTAATGGATGGAACCACCATGTATGACCTTAGTAAGGGTTTCGACGTGTTTGACCAACAGATCCTGCGAGAAAAATTAAATGGGCTCAGAACTTGGGCTCATGGAATCATACCTGGCATGGACTTGACCAGAAGGTGTGCTCATAAATGCGCATACTGCTGACCCTGTCAGATAACTCAGTGTCCCACAGGGGTGCTGTGACCCCTCGTGTTAATTTTCATGACAAACGACCTCATTGCAAATTTTAGGGTGGGGTATGTTGCTGACGACACTATAACCTCTTCAGTGTTTTTTCCAAAGATGTTAATGCTTATAACAAAACAAACGTCTGAGTTTTGTTTCGGGATGTTTCAGTCCATGGAAGCCGAAACCTCACCGAACTGAGGTTACTCTAGGACCATGTGTCCTCTTCAACCAATTAGTTGTTATTTTAATAAACTGCCTGAGTCTTGAGTCGGAGGAAATAGCCTCGGCACGCGGCCACCTATTACTCCAGGCTAGGGCCTGGTAGAGTTGGCAACGTCGCATCACAAGCTTTGCCTTTTTCTAATCTCTGGGTATGGTCATAGACAAATAGGTTATGGTGCTCTAGGCTGTGTGGTAACTCTAGCAGGACCCACAGTGCTCTCTTGTCGCAAAAAAGCAGTGAGAATTTTATGTAACGAACGCTCGACACCAAGCTATTACAAACCTTTGTTTACTGAGTGGTACAATGACTGTAATTGTCAATCTACATTTTCCAAAGCCTAGTTGCCATAAAGGAAATTGAGAATGTGTTTTTAACAAACAGTGACATCCATATGTACAACACCAGAAATAGAAATAATCAACATGAATAGATAAAGCTTGGTTCTATCATTGACTATACACAATAGACTTCCCATGTGATATGAAAGTTTGAAGCCAAGAAAATAGATTTTTATAAAGTGTTTTTATTGAAAAATTTGTTGTTGAGAGTGCTTAACAGCTATTTTTAATGTTCCAAAGTCAATTTTTCGTATTACATAGTATTTACTTATTGTTCAATATATAATAGAACAGATTGTAAAGTAAATAAATAAAAAAAAAAAATATATATATATGAAGTTCTGAAGTTCAGGACCATCTCACCAGAGTTTACTAGTGTATTGTGTTGAATCACTTTCACTGAGCTATGATTTGAATATTAATTATAAGCACCTGGTTCGTATCCATCACTACAATTAGGAATGACTTCAAAATTAAATCAGTGAAAGAAGAAATTACAGACCTTAGCCAAAATTATCAAGAAAAATTAGAATATCATCAACGCTGTTAATCTGCTGGACAATAGTCAGTGCTTTACCAGATTAAAAAGTGTTGTGCATGTGCTGGACCTAAGCTACAGATTTCTGTAAATATTAAAATGATTGATCCAATTTTTGGCAAGACTTGTTGATGAACAGGTGCTTGCTTCCTGACATTGTTTTGATATAGGTTTTAATTATTGTTCTCATATTTGAACAGATTGTAAAATAAATTATGATAAAAAAAATTATAACCAATGCAGTATCATAGCAAACAGCTGATTGATTTATCACTTAACACAGAATATTGCCTTTGACCATCTCAACAGATTGCACCATGGTATAGTCAATCAGTCAATGGTTCTATGTTACCCAGTTTGTTTCAGGTATGAGGTTTTTTAATTGACTCCCAACAGCCATAAATCAGTTGTCTACGGCTAAAATTTGTAAAAACCATAAAATCGTGGCTCATCAAACACATCTTATAGCATGGATTAATCTATGAAGGAGACCTCTCTAGCATGATTAGTACTGGCAACATGTAAGCTTAAATTACTTGGCAAGCTGATGTCTTTCCTGCTTGGTTTTGCCAGCATGAATAAGTACCTCAAGGGTGGTATTCATACCGAAGCCTGGAAGGGACACAACTCTATAAAGTACTGTAATTGCTGGTTATGTTTTTATTACATAAATTGTAGGGCAAAGTCTAATAAATTAAGAAAAACACAAACTATTACAGCCAAACCGTTGAAAATCGGACATGGGTTTATATAGGAACTTTTTTGTTCCTTTTAGTAAGTAGAACCATAGATAAAACATGGTTAGTCTATGGTAGAACCTTGATGGCGAAGTTAACACGCTCAGTAGAAACTCACCCTGTATGTATATGAATTTGAACGGATGGTGTTTTTGGCCTCTATGGACCTCAAAACTAATAAATAAACCAGTCCCGAGTCCAGGTCTTACCTTGAGTACTACGGTATTAGCTTATCCCCTATATGGGAAATTTGCTAAAAAGATGCCGATTAAAATTCCACTTTTATTTTAATTGTTTTAAATTTTCATAGGCTATCTTCTCTAGTTTATAATCGAGAAAGCTGTGATTAAAAATTCAACTGGTAATCAGCTGTTAAACAACAATTTACATTTCAAATTATATTATTATTAATTATATTTCATTATAATGAACGTTGGTCAGCAGCACTCGCCCTTTGAAAGCAAATACTAGAAATGCATCAAAGGCTAGAGGGGGCGACCCTTAACTCTTTGAGGTCGAATGGTGAGTATAGGTCGCTGCCCGCCATTTTCCCGGTCGCTCAAAAATGGCGACCTACAGGTATTGAAAAACAAAAAAATAAAAAAAGTTTATCTTTGCGGTGGAATGGCGAGTATAGGTCGCCGGGCGCCATTTTCTAAGCTGTTAGGCTTTTACTAACAAATCTTCCCTCAGGTGTTAGATCATCAGCTCTAGGATCACACCTCAATTGTAAAAATTGGTTAACCCATTCACTTATGTTTTTTTGGTGTTTTTGGCCTCTAGGGACCTCAAAACTAATAAGTAAATCAGTCCCGAGTCCAGGTCTTACCTTGAGTACTACGATAATAGCTTATTCCCTGTATGGGAAATTTGATAAAAAAAATTGTCAACCAGTTCTGTCTTATACTTAAATTTCCTTGAGTGAAAGCACTTTAATCTAACTATTAATAGGCATAATACAGATGCGTATGAATTATAGGCCCACACTTACGAAAGATATAATAGTAAAATTTACTATGATTTATTGGTATAAAATCCAATTTATGGGGCAATGTTATCCAAAATCCATTTCATATAGTCTGAAGCTTTGGTATAGACACCTGGAGAATCTGTTTCAGCGCACTTTTTTGGGCCAAATGATACTATTCCAACAAGAAAGTATTTGGGAGGAGCATCGATGGAGAATGGCCGCATTAGAGGCCCTCCTGAGTCGCCACTGCAAGAGTCTCGGCCGATGATGCCTCCCGCGCAGAACTGAGTCTCATGGATAGCAGCCTTACTGGAGTACGAGAGCTCACAGAGCCAATGGTTTGCTATGGGAACCTTTACAGTTTGCAGTATCTTATGAGGCATGCGTATTGCTGAAAGAAATTGCAACATTAACATTGCTAAGTAAAAACCTTAAACTACAACCAGGTTAATTGGCAAGTCTATTAAACCTTGCAGGTTAAAATTCCCTTGTAGCAGAAAACCTGCAGACTGCTTAGTGGATTTCACAATAAGCGGAACTGTACCCATCCATATTTGCACTCTACACATAACTATTGGCTCAATAAACTCTTGAGTTTGCTGCTTCAAGGGACAAAAACATCCTTTAACATAGATTAAATTTCACTACCGTACCCATAATAAAATAAAGATGTGTTTTAAAATCTATGAAAACATATTTATAGAAAAAACAAATATTTTATATAATGTATATATACTATATTATATTTTAGTTTGCAATATAAAATATTAGCACTTTAAAAATATCTTAGTTATGAAAAAGCCTCAAATAGTAATGTGATCTTTTAATACCCTGACCATTTCCATTTTTACAGGTAATTTGAATGATAAATATAAATTTAAGATTTTTAAAAGTCAGGTAAAATCACACCGTTTTGATACTAAACCATCCTCTTATTCTTATCTTGAGATCAGGCAATTTAATAAACTTATTTGATTAAATCCTGGTTTACACATTTGATGAAAATGTATAGCCTAGCTATTAAGGTCTTATATATATTTGTAGCATAAATGCAAGCCCCGCAATGTTAAGAGATAATCAAGTTATTGAGAACCTATGTCTGTTGTGAGAAAGTCTCGTAAGACAACACTAAACATTTGTCTTCCATCATATTGTGAAGATGTTGATTTTTACTATTTAATATAAATTATATAATAATCATTTAAGAACAGTGACAGCAGTTATGTGCTTATATTCTTCATTGTAATAGCTTGATCTAAGAAAGAAAATAAAAAACTTATTACATATATTGTATACTCCCCATCCAGCCACTTCCATTACGTATGTTTCAAAAGTGTTGGTCAGAAATAGTTCATATATTGGAAGGCAAATTGGTTGTACGAAATCTGAAACAAAATGTTGTAAATGTTAATTAACAAAAAGCCTGAGTTTACAAACTAAATTAACTGATTCTATATAGCCAAGCAATAATTATATAGAATCAGGCCTCAGGATTCAAACTTAAACTGACAATTGACAATCAAAGTTATAAAGTCCAAACAAAATATGCAACTGGCGTAGCAACCAAACACGGTTTGGTTAGTCCTAAAGGGCGTGAGGAACAGGCGTATTAGGTTGCCACGCCTGTTGCTCTCACGTCTCCACTGTTTACATGAGACGTGGCCACGCTTCTCAAGAAAGTGAGAACATTTCTCACCTACACGCCTGAATTTAGCCGTGGCCCCACCACAGTGTAAACACCGCTTAAAATGTTGTAGTTAGCTTGTTTATGAATATATTTTGACCAAACTTGGTAAAATTATTTATTTTATACTAAATTAATAATATTTTACTAAAAAAAATAAATTGTTTACCCTCCCTGTAGCAGCTAGCCTATTTACTTATAAAACCTAAATGTTAATTAAATACATTTAATTGAAAATCAATTCAGGAAACTGGAAATTCGCTTAGTCGGTAGGTTTGCTGCGGCGGGGGTATTTTTTATAAACTCAGTAACTCCCTATAATATGTGTTGTTTAAAATACAATTTAAATGTTAACAGCGGTTTCATTAAAAAGTAGTGAACAATTATCCATACTAGTGGTCGTCCAGTGGTCGAAAACTCGACCAAAACATGTAATGTACACCGTATTCACTATTGGGAACTACATGAATGAAACTACAAAATAAAGAATGATTTGATTTGATTTGGGTACTGAAGTAGACATCCCATCTACATGGACCAGCTGTCGCCATTTTTTTATTAAAACATCAACGAATGCTTGTCTTAAATTCTATTTTCTACCTTATTTTTTGTTGCTGACAAAGTTGATGGGTCATAACAGTAACCTGTATAGCTCATAATTAGTCATTCAAAAAGTTTAACTTCGTAAAAAACATCGTGTATTCAACATAAATTAGTCATTTAGATTTGTGCAATCTGTTGGTGGCTCACATCAACTACGAAAAAAAACTGGTGACAACTTTAACATTGGGATGGAATGTAAAGGTACAGGCTTCTCTATTTCACCATTAATAGTCAAAGATTTCACCCCACGCTGTAAATAAAACATGTGATTGGAATATTTTGCTTTTGTTTTGATTTTCTGTTTATATTTCGTCACCAGCATGGCAACCTATAAAACCCATGTTAAATTTTTTAAAATTTCAAATTCATTTTTACTTTCTCCCCCTATACCATAGTATATGGAGAAAGTATTGTTTTCGTCAACATTTTCGAGTTTGAGTTTTGAGTGGATATATCAGCGAGCACATAATAATAATAATAATAGAGAGGACACGGCGTTTAACCAAATGCACTGAAAGTGTGGCCAAATCCGCCATCTTGGTCCGTCATACAGCCTGAATCCAAGACCCGCGAGCACAGTTCGCATAAAAATCCCGCGACAAATACACGATCATACATAAACAACATTAGTAGTTGACAAAAAATTCTGAAACTTTGCACTCATGTAGATCTGATACTGAGGATAACGATGGTGTTAATATAAAATTATTAGTTATGATAGTAATTGATTTATAAATATTTGTATTACTTATGTAGTTTAATTTTTCATATTCAGACATGAAAAAGTTGTATTGCGAGGATTTTTTTTTATTTTTTGGTCAGAGAAATTTCATTAGCGGGAAAGTTGTGGATAAATAGCCAAATTTAACTATCCGATTCACCAAAAAATTTTATCGTGCGTGGTTTTCTAAAAATATCAGGTACAAAAGGGGTCCATTGCCGCTGCTCCGCGCCACGCCCGCTGCCCCGCCGGGCCGTCGTATATAAATTTAGCGTACAGTGTTTTCATGTTTTATTTATACTGTTGTACTGTAATATTATATATATTAAAGACATTTTCAAATATATTGTCTATGGAGAATTTTCAACCGTTTAGCACAGCTTTTTAAGGACTAATTTGCTTTCAATATCATCCAAGATAAACTAAAGATAATTATGTAAGGTAAATTAAACTTCCCAAATATATTTGTAAAATTACACTCAATTTATTGTCCCAGAAAAATTACAGTTTTATTGAGATGTTGCCTGATTTTATTCTTGTGAAGACTTTTGCTACTTATTTTACAGTAGTAGCGAACTCTAACATTGGAATATTTTTTTAGCAATAATTTTAATTAGGTACTAAACAAAAATAATTTTTGCCCATATTGTTTCATATCCTGAGAAATATGTACTATTAGGAAACAAATTTACACCTACACATTGTCCAAGTACTTTGTTCGTCAAGTCCTCAATTACATTGTTTAAATAATTTCATTAACTTTATATCTACACTATTCTCATCAAGCATAGCGCGTTGCACACGCCGGGACTACTGTCGGGGAAATAAATATGTGCACTCGAGTTTGAGCCTAAATATCTCTTGAGATAAATTATCCGATTTTGTTGAGACAAAAATTAAATATAAGCTGGTTTAAATACATTTTACGTGGTAACAATTAAAAATATTTCCGTTTACCAGAAAAATTTATATAGTTGAAAGATCCTAAAAAAGTACCGATTTTTAAGAAACTCTGCACTAACACTGAAGTTTAAAACTTAATTGTAAACGAACCACTCAGCCAATCTTTCTGAAATTGTTATGGCTTATTGGTAAGTTTATTGTTAACAGTTCCATGCATTTTAAAATTTTTACTCACAATAGTTTTTTATGCTGATGTTTATTTTTAAAACGTATGCTAACATCGTTAAAAAGACGCTAAAAATGTCGTTCAAAATACCATCGTGTTTGTCGTGACACAAGAAATAACACCAATATGACAGATTTATAATGCGAACAAAGATGTTTTTAAACAGATATATATTTGTAAACAAAAATTTCTCCCGCGAAAAAAAATCTATTTACTACAGTAAAAAACAATCGATTTACTTTAAGATATTTCCAACAATATACTAATACGACAATGTACTTCCAGAAAAACCTAAGTAATTTTTATACAAAAGTATTTTTACATTTAAACAAAGCCTATGGTAAACCACACTGACTCGAAGCATAGCAGACGACCAGCGCGTTGCACACGCCGGGACTAGGCTAGCGCCGCCATCTTTGTCCGTTTCGTCGGCTAGTCAGACTGCTACGCTCCTGCGCTCCGAGTAGCGCTTCTATTTTGTTATGAGTTCGCTGGGATATATTCGTTTTGGGTCCCCCTGGACCCAAAAAAGTGGTTTTCGAAGTGATGTCTGTGTGTGTGCGTGCGTGTGTGTTGGTGTGTGTGTGTGTGTGTGTGTGTGTGTGTCTGGATGTGTACAGAGGAGCTAGAGACTTCACCTGTGGTCCGATTTCGATGAAATTTGGTATGTAGGTTCTAATCCATAGTATCTCCACGCGTTTTTTCATTTTTTTGAAATTTTTATTTTTAATGGGGATTTTCCCATAAAAACCCGGAAAATCGGATTTTTTCAAAAATGGCCCGAACGATTTTGATAAAAATTTAGTATGTTGTAGCCCTTTAAATTCTGAATAAAATGGTACAAATCCCATTTCTGTAAAAATTACGGTTCAAAAGTTATGGTCAAATATGTTATTTTCCCATAAAAATCCCATAAAATAACAAAAAATAGGATTAAAAAAAAAATCATGTTTTGATTTAACATAGTATGTTACGGTCCTTACAATTTTGGTAGTTTTTTTTAATTTTTTAGAAATTTTTTTAAATGGGGATTTTCCCATAAAACCCCATAAAATAATGGAAAAATAGGAATTTCCCAAAAATGGCCCAAACGATTTTGATAAAAATTTAGTGTGTTATAGTCCTTTATATTCTGAACAAAATGGTACAAATCCCATTTCTGTAAAAATTACGGTTCAAAAGTTATTGTAAATTATGTAATTTTCCCATAAAACAACAGAAAAATCGGATTTTCCCAAATTTGGCCAGAACGATTTTGATAAAAATGAAGTATGTTATAGGCTAGTCCTTTAAATTCTGAACAAAATTGTACAAATCCCATTTCCGTATATTTACTCTCAACGCTTACACATGATACCGTAAAGGTTGTTGACAAACTTATGGGAGAAAGTATGTGTCAGAATGCTGATACCGTTTATTTGTGCTTATATTTGAGCCTTATTTTAATTTTTAACCCTCGAGGAGGCGCTTCACCAGTATAACGGGAGCGGGCACATGCAGAGTTTTATTCCGCATTACTAAATAGCATAAATTTTACCCATTTTATTTGTTGTTAAAAGAAATATTATATGTAAATGTTGAATAAACTAATCAGAAACCTAATTTCTTTGAACTTTTATTTGTTTAAATTAATGAGTAATATTTCAAATAAACATATTGAGCAATTTTCTAGTATAAAGGTATCACTGTGGGTGTTACGAGAGAGGGCAGGGCGCATGCGGAGTTTTGTTCCGCAATAACGCAATTATACATATACATGCAAACAAAATATATTTCGTAATAATTATAAACTAGTGGAACCCCGTTGAAATCGACGGTTAATCTTGAGGTTTTATGTAAATTCAGCTAATTGCGATAGATAGAGTGAAGTCATTAATATCTTAGTTAAATGAAGGGAAGATAAGCAACAAAAACTACAAGTGCGGAGGAAAACTCCGCAAGCCCCCGCTCAAGGTTAAAGGGATTCTGCACATCTACAGGATAATATATTTCTAACGGTATGCGCAGATTTTCCCTGCGATGCACACGACCTGAGAAAAAAGGTTTTAAAGAAACATGCTTGCCTATTAATATAAAGATAGATGACGATAATGTAAACAAATCTGGGAAGGGAACTTTAAAGGCTTCTGGGGCAGAGCCCTAAGGGAATTTACTTTGTTTTTCTTTTGATGGCTCATCTACAGACCGAGACATTTCTTTGGACACCTCTACCTAGTTTCTACACCCAGCTGTTCTCTCAAATTAGTGGAGACAAAGTTTCCAATTTAATATTTAGTTTTCCCCATGTTAATCTTATGGGAGAAAACCCAACTTTAATGGAAGATCCTGCCCAAACTAATAAAGATTTCAACAAATGAAAACCACTTTGCAAAACTACAGATCAGGGCCATTTTTTTGACACTTTAATCATCAAAATCGGTCCAAAAATGAGGGAGGAGTTCTTGTCACAAAAATCGGCTTAGCGTATTATATATAGTACCTGAGGACCGAGCTATGCTCGGGGAAAATCATTAGTTTACTCTGAAAGCAGTCTTAGTAAAGCAGTCTTAGTATTGAAGATACATAAATCCATCACCAAACTCCACACTGCTCGCCTTTACTACTTCCTTCACCACTTCCTACGTCGCGGACCTGTTTTCCTCCCTTCCCATTTTAGAATTCCAGATACCTTAATCTAATAGTCCTAAACAGTTTCCACACTCCAGACAGCTGGCCTTGACTACTTCCTTCACCACTTCCTACGTCGCACACCTGTTTCCCTCCCTTCTCATTTTAGGATTGCAAATACCTTAATCTTATCGTCATAAACAGTTCCCACACTCCGGACAGCTCGGCTTGACTACTTCCTTCACCACTTCCTACGTCGCGGACCTGTTTTCCTCCCTTCCCATAGCATTTTAGGATTGCAGATACCTTAATCTAACCGTCATAAACAGTTCCCACACTCCGGACAGCTCGCCTTGACTACTTTCTTCACCACTTCCTACGTCGCGGACCTGTTTTTCTCCCTTCCCATAGCATTTTAGGATTGCAGATACCTTAATCTAACCGTCATAAACAGTTTCCACACTCCAGACAGCTGGCCTTGACTACTTCCTTCACCACTTCCTACGTCGCACACCTGTTTCCCTCCCTTCTCATTTTAGGATTGCAAATACCTTAATCTTATCGTCATAAACAGTTCCCACACTCCGGACAGCTCGGCTTGACTACTTCCTTCACCACTTCCTACGTCGCGGACCTGTTTTCCTCCCTTCCCATAGCATTTTAGGATTGCAGATACCTTAATCTAACCGTCATAAACAGTTCCCACACTCCGGACAGCTCGCCTTGACTACTTCCTTCACCACTTCCTACGTCGCGGACCTGTTTCCCTCCCTTCCCATAGCATTTTATGATTACAAATACCTTATTCTAATCGTCATAAACAGATACCACACTCCGGACAACTCGCCTGCTTTACTACTTCCTTCACCACTTCCTACGTAGCAGATCTGTTTCCTTCCCTTCCCATAGCATTTTAGGATTGCATATACCTTAATCTAATCGTCATAAACAGATCCCACAACTTCAAGTCTTTTGTTTACTTTTTCCTTGTTATTTAATTCAACTAACATGGTTACTTAGCAACCCATAAGACAAATGTTAAAAAAATGTGACTTTCAGTTTAATTTTTCTACGTAATTAGATTTTTGTTGGCAGTTGTAACTGCAGTAAACTCGTTTTTACGCCAGAAATAAACTATGTACAACATTTGAAGAAAATTGTCGGAGCCGTTTTCGAGATCTTTTTTGCAAGCAAGCAAGCATACATACAAGCAAACCTTGCTCATATTATAGTATAGGATAGAAGATAGATAGATGGTTTTGAAACTTGATCGGCAATCCTTTTCAATAAAAACAAAGGAACCTCATCCCATCCTGAAGATTGCTTGTACTTCAATGATTTGATTATTAACATGATTTTCATCTACTGGACTAAAGTGAAAATCTGGTAAACTCTGACTCCACTCATTTTTTCATTGCAAAATCTAACTGCCATTTCCCTTGATGGTGAAATCTCATTCTCTAAACCAAATATCAGTAAATTTATTGTTAAACATATCAGCTATTTTATTACCATCTTTTAAACACTTATTTTGAAAAACAATGTCTGAAAAGCTATTTTCTTGAGTTGCCTTTAAACCTAATTCTCCATTAACAATTCACCACACTGCCTTACTTTAATTGTCTGCTTTCTCTATAAAAGAGGTGTTTGCATTTCTTTTTGCCCTAGAACAGACAGCTTTGACATTTTTCTTAAAAACTTTACAATACTCTTTAAAGGCATGGCTATCAGATTGTTTTGCTAAGACTTGCAAGCCTTAGCAAAACAATATGATAGCCATGCCTTTCTCTGTTTCTAGCACTTAATTCTCTAATCTCTAATGATATTACAATACTTCTTAGGCTAGGTATTTCTATTGCATATCCTTCAAACACAGCTTCTTCAAAGTAAATGTTTAAATCATCTCTGTTTGAAAAAGCTCAATTATTCTGAATAAGAATACATGTTCCCCTCCTCTCCCTAAAATAAGTAACATTGAGAGATGGGAAATGAGTATTAACATAGACAATAGTTATTTGTGTAACTAGTGGTGAAAGTGGCACTTTGCTGCACACGAGAGCAATGTGCCGCAGGCTCGTGCGGAATGATCTCGAGTGCAGCAAAGGCCTTTTTCACTCGTGTTACACATTATATTTTTCCTACAGTCACTATAATGCATATAAATAATTAGTCTTTCAAACACTGTACAACACGTTTTTAGGTTCAGCTGGCAACACAAATGGTGTCCTAGAGAAGTAGTACCCGCGGTCCGTATCACTCCGCTATTTTTCCTCGGCAAGAAATGTGCACCGCGTTTTGAGAATATAGTTCCGTATGTTTTTGTAATTTGAAGTGGTTTCCGCGCCTAAAAAAATGCTTTAAAGGTATTTTCTTGTTTATTAAGATCGTAGGAGTGTTTTAAAAACGTTTAAAAGAAAAGTCCAGAAAGTTCAGAAATACCGAAACTATAAACACGAAATGACAGGTTAATAGTCAATCAGCTGCTCATAGTATTATTATCATTAAGTGTTGCCAACCTATTTCCAAGCGTACACGGATTACGTGCATAATAGAACCACGCTGTTTTGTGTTGTTTGGTTGGAATCCTGATGTGCGGCAAAGTATAAACCGTACGACAAAGTATAAACCGTACGGCAAAGTATAAATATGCAGCAATTAGCAGCTTTCTGTACTATAAACAGTACAAGGAAGCCAACTTTGTCGAGTGACTGTAGGAAAAAAGAATTAAATATAGACAGTCAGCTGTGCTGCGCTTACCATAGGTTCTGGCGCACACCACTGGGAGCGCCGTGTAGTTACGGCATACACGCTATAACTACACGGGCACTTCCAGCGGTCTGCGTCAGAACCTATGGTAACCATGGTAACCGCAGTACAGCTGACAGTCTATATTTAATTCTTTTTGTCTATGGTATTAAGGGGTTTAAATATTTTTCAAAAATTGGTTTCTCAAGTTTTTACCCTAAAACATAGAAATGCTCAATTTTTCATTGCAGCCTTCTAGAAGAGCTTAAAATGACGCCCCATTATTTTAAGCTCTAATCCCTAAGCCCCTAACCATCCTAATCCTCTAATCGCTAAGCCACCCCCATTGAGCCCTGGGAAAATAAATTTAAACATAATTTTGGTCCTATGAAAAATTGTGAAAAATGGCTTCAGAAAATCACCTTAAAAATCTTGGTAGCTTTAAAGATGCCAAATTTTCCGGGAAACCCCTCTATTTTCTTGGTGCGTTGGATAACCATGTGGTGGCTAGTGGGGCCCTTGATAAGTAACTGCCACTGTCTTCTGTCATTAATTATCTAATAATATTTATATTTTACACCCCTAAGTAAAACTTTAAAACTACTAGATCTTCATTTCTAAAGAGATGTCCAGTTAAAAATAACAGTTAAAAATTATTTTTAAATTACACAATGTCTTACCATTAAACTGGATTGGAGTGGCCAATCTAATTAGGCAGATGTCATTGTGATAGTCTTCTTTGTTGTAGTTTGGATGGCAGATGTGGGACTCAACATCAACGTCTTGTACAGGTGGAGCACACACGCCATCCACACAGTCTGGGTCCGTCTCTGTGTCATACTCTCCTAGTCGGACCTGCACCCTTCAGAAGCCAAACAAACACAGCTTATAGAGAGAGGCTGCTAGAATATCTGGATAGGCACTAGTATGGAGCTGGAGCTTGTGTTGCTGCAGTTTAGTACATTAACAGTAATTACACCACTTGTGAGTGTATACCTCTGCACAGCAGCCTCTGAACTTTGTCAAGTTATAAACAATACACAATCATGCTTTGATTCTCAAGTCACCTCGTGCTACTTTTTAGTTCTTCATTTTATCTTATGGATATAAACAAAGCCTCCTCTAATACAAGACCCCGGCGTTGGCGCTTCTGGCCTATCGCTATGGTAATAACCAACAAGTAAACATAAACATTGTGCAGATGAATATGAGTTAGTGCTAGAGCTGTTACGATAGGCAGGGGCCAAGGTGTTGCCACTTTTGTCTTGCAGCGGCCTTGTATTACCGGAGGCCATGATTTAAAGCAATGAATTGACTTGTGAATAAGGCAATCTTATATTTTTAAGATTTTAAATTGATTAATGCCAAATTTAACGTTTTCTTCTTGTTCATTAAAAGCCTTTGTCAAACCGATAATTTTCAATCTTAGTGTGGTTTCCAGTGCATATTCCCTACAAGTTTAAAAAGAAAATGTCATTCTTTTTTCCTCAATTTCTAAGTAATAAGAACTGTATTATTTCATAAGTACTGTAAAGGGGCTTATTGATTCTAATTGTTGTACTTGATAGCTAGTGTTAGTAGTAGGTACCTACAGTTTGATGCCCAGTGCTTCCGGGCTGCAATGAGCTGCACTCAAAATGTATCTGTCTGTGATGATGGCTCCTCCACACTCATACACATCCACTGAAGACTTCCCCTTCGTCTGGCCAACTAGGAGGTACGAAGATCAGTACAGAATAGGATTTGATAAATATTTATACCATCCAACCTGCTTAATGGGGTGCCATCAAGCCGATTGGCCTTGAGACTTTTGAGATTTGAGATTTTGATAGCCAAAGGTAGATTGTGTCAATTTAGATGGTGTGTAAGGGAAATGCTCCCACCGAGAGTCACGTCAATAGACAATAGTGCTAAAGGTAATGAATTATTCTGATGAGTGTACAAAATTAAAAAAAAAACAAATGTGGTGGGGTAAGTTTCTTATGTGCATGTGTTTCCTGCACTATGATCTACACCTTCTCAGACAGGAGGTGTAGAAACAGGTTTTATTTGTGAAACGAAACAAGAATCCAAATTTAGTACTGTAGAAAGTTTTTTTTTTAAATCAGAAGGGCTTGTGATAACATGGAGATCAAACAACACAGTATGTAGAGTCCACCCAAATGTAATGAGGCCCGCGGTTTGCATGTGACGCGCTATGGGCCCCGAGAGATAATTGTGCCTCCTTCCCTTCCTCCTTCTGTGCAGGGGAAATGTAATGTTCCTTGTGCCCCTGACAAACCTAAAACCTCTAGCGCCCCTGGGCCTGGACCATTTAAAAAAGGGGCCCTGAATGTTAACATGACAACCCATCAATGATCTTACAAACGCTAATCGAAAAACGGATACAACATATTTAACTTACAGTAATATGATTTTGTAAGTGACATTTTGTACACAAAATAACACTCTCAAAAGCAGAATGTCAACTGTGAGGAGATTTGTTTGGTCTTCTGTCTAAGTATCAACTATGTTTGTCCAACTAGTTTTTTATTAAAAAATTATATTTAATAGTAGAAATTAAATGAAGTTTCCTTTAGAATATACACTTGTTTAAAAATATTACCTTTTTCATCCACCACTTTGGCCTAAATATTTTTCTTTTAAATAAACCGTGAAAAGATAAATAAATACAGTGGTACCAGTACTGTAATGACTCTTGCCAACTTTTATGACAAGATCATATTTGAATGAAAAAGTTACCTACCAAAAGCATTGATCATTAATATCATTCATTCTGTGCAGATTAGCATTTTAATTATGGCTAAAATGCTAGACACAAATATTTTTTACAGTAGTGAAAAGATACGTTGTTGTGAGACTTAAATCAACCTAAAAACCTTAAATCAAAAGGTAACTAAACGCACTAAAGTTACACTTTCAGCTAACAAAACAAGTCTCTTGTGTCTACTAACTATCCGCTCGATTTTGCTTAGAGAAGCTGTAACAGTTTTTGCATCTTAAAAGAGTATCCAAGCCTTACAATTAGAGTATCCAAGCCTTACAATATGAGTATCCAAGCCTTACAAGAGTATCCAAGCCTTGCTAGCCAAGGATATTGTCCGAGGGAAGCATTGATTCCTCCAATAATACGGTCAGCCAAACTCTGCCCACATTCTTCCTGATATGGATGTATCAATTTAAAATTCGCATGATTTACCAGATCTGTAAAAAATATCAATCTAAAAATAAGGCAAACAACATTATTGTTGTTACTAGTTGCTTCACCGTGAGAATACAAAAGAGAATAATGAGGTTTTTTAGAATCTACTATAAAGAAACAGTTACAACACACTTACCAGGAATCATAGAGGAAAGCTCAATCTTACTTTTTATATTACATATTTAAATAAAGATCTTCTTAAATGAAGAATTTTTAAAAATATTACCTGCACGATAGTGCTGTGCATCAGCGGCCAACAGAAGCGAGGCAAAAAGTAGTATCATTAGTGAGCTATGTATGATCTAGTACAAACTATAATGGAACAAAACCAAAGTTATAAATCAGTGGTTTATTTGATGTTAGGCAAGAGAAAAGATACATTTGTGATAGTTTTAATTACATGAGCTGGAGAGTAATTTAAACATAATTGATATTGAAAAAATTGTGTGTTGCGCTTGATATAATACAAACAATACATACTAGACTTCAGGTATCATTTAATCTATTCAATATAGGGCCTTCTCTGTCTCTGTTGCTTTTTATTTGAAAAGTAATGTGTTCCACTTGATATGATGGCAAACAATAAGTACTTAACTCCAGATTATTCATCACTCTTATTCATTAAACTGTGTCTCTTATACCTGCAACTCCCTTACATCTTCAAGAAACTTTGTAGTATATAACAATATCTTTGTTCAAAAATACAAAACCCAAAAAGATTTTGGCCCTTTGTTCCCATCAAAAAATAAATAAACGGTATCAGAAATCTGACACATACTTTCTCCCATTAGCTTGTCAACAACCTTGTTTATGGGTAAGCGATGAGAGTAACTATGATATTTAATAGGTAAAATCACAAAACTTCCATTAACTTTTGAGCAGTAATTTTAACAGGAATGAAGGGATGCAATATTTTGTTAAGAATTATAAGGAACATAACAAAAAAATTTCAAACAGAATCGAAATTTTGTTTCAAAAAATAAATTTTTCCGTTTTTTAAATGGGTTTTTATGAGACAATAACATAAGTTACAATAACCTTTGAACCATAATTTTTACAGCAACTGAGGGTTGCACTATGTTGTTTGGAATTATAAGGATTATCACATACTAATTTCAATCAAAACCGTTTTTTTTTTCAAAAATAAATTTTTTCTTATTTTATGGGGTTTTATGGGAAAATGAGATAATTTACAATAACTTTTGAACCATAATTTTTACAGAAATGGGAGTTATACCATTTTGTTCACAATTTAAAGGGCTACAACATTTTTATCAAAATCGTTCAGGCCATTTTTGAGAAAATGTGATTTTTCCGTTATACGAGGCATGTTTTTTAAGTAAGTACCGTTTTTAAAATTCTCCGTTACACCGCTGCGATTGGCATTTTGGACGTTTGCGCTGTATATGTGCATCTATTGGCAAGCCCTAGCCGAAAACTCGACAACAATCGGCCGTGTTTACATCTGGTATCGAGCATTCAAAATGGTGCCGCCAATTGAGACTGCCGCCGACTGTGAAGTGTGCGCTGTAATTAGATTTTTATGTTCTAAAGGTGTGAAAGCCATTGAAATTTGTCAACAGCTTAGTGAGGTGTATGACGAGAACATTTATGAGTGACGGAATGGTACACAAGTCGGTAAGGGCATCTAAAGACGGCCCCACCAACGTTCATGATGAGCAACGCACTGAGTACTGGGGACAGTGGACGCTGCCCAGTGCGTTGCTCATGATGAACGTTGGTGGGGCCGACTGTTATTCATATTACACCTGTAATACTTAGCAATTGCTCGAATTCAAGCAACAGGGACACTAGTATTAAATAAAATATTATACTTTCAATATTTGACAAACACAAAAGAGGGATGCTTGGATCTTAAGCTTTGTAACAAGTTTCAGCAACTTAACAGTTTTAGACTTCTTTCACCACATGGTCCATTGTAATTGTTTACAAATAAGGAATAAAGTTATCCTTTGGGGCCATTAAAAAAGACAAAACGCATTATATTACCAACACTTATTATAATTTTATCATAAAAAACACACTCTATGTACAACTGTTATGTATGAAAAGTATAAACGTAGCCCAGAGTCCATAGTACAGCTAGCTACTAAGGGGCTTCAGTCATCACCCATATGTTCATCTATCCCATCACTTTCCGTTACAAGCGCTCTCTCTAGGATGACACGACCCTCCTTGTAGCGTTGATTCTCCTCAGTCGCAAACTCGTAGATCCACCCCAGTTTAGCATCACAGTTCTTGCAAGACACGTCCCTCACCATGTGTCTGCCTGTCAACATTACTCTGTCTTGAACCTCACTGAAACAGTCAAAAGTACTAGGTAGGCTAAGATCCAGAGGCTAAAATATGTCAATTTGCAATATTGGATTTTAGTGTGTGTATATGTATACAGTATGTACTATGTAATCCTGCTAACTGAATTTAATAATGGATTGGGTTGTTATCTTAGGTTTAATTTTGTGGTGCTAAACGGACTATTTTTGTGACTGGAATAGCGTAATGCAATCTCCCACTGGTTTTGTTGTCACAAAAAAATGTTAACTGTTTCTTTTTACTGTTTAGAAGGATAGGTTCACCAGATGGATCTGGTAGATTTTACCATTTAGTGTTCACTTTTGACCATGGCAGAGAAGTATAAGTCATACAATAAATATGTACTCTAAATAATCAATATGAATCAAATTAGACTTTAAATATATAAAATATGAATAAAAATAATAAAATGCTTATATCATATTTTGGTTATTTTTGTTTCATAGCCTAAGCCTAAAACGGTTCCCAAACTATCGGTCGCGAAAAACATTTAAAATGTTTTTTTACCGGGACTCATAATTTTTTATCACCAGAATCTACTTAGCACCAGAATAGTACCAAGCGGGCTGCAAGGTGCACAGTTATACATTAGAATATTCACAGTTTAACGTGATTGATAGTTTAACTCTATGGATTTTGAACACTCATTCAGGGGCAGATCTAGAACAGTCAAAAGAGGGAGGCGAACCGGGGGGTATGGAATTTGTGTAATTTAAGTGTCCAAAATGACAGTTTTAGACTATTTCTTTGTCCAAAGTTTAGTAAACAAATATTAAAATAAAATTTCCATTCAACTTTCATTGAGAGCAGCAGTTTTGCTATCAACTATTTTTATTACTATTATTGTTATGATTATTTAATGGAATAATTTTTTAACGTGAAATACAACGCAAGCACATAAGTTAACTTTAAAATTCTTGTTCGTTTTCAGCAGTGGCTAATAAATAAAAAAATAGTGGACTCAGTCGTGTTTCTGGAGCACTATCTGTGATATTATATTCACCACAAACGCACAATAAAGCCACTCAATCTATGTACCCTCCCACGGCTTTGACTATACCTCTCTTCCACGCCCACTTATGCTACTGCCTTTGTGACATTTAAATTTATAATCTCCCAATGACTCTTCTGTACTGTATGGACTGTTACACAGTATTTCTATCATCAAAGCTGGACTAAAATGGTTAGAAGAGGTTTAAAATTAATACATTTTTAAAATAAATAAATGTAGTAAATTTATTTTGTGGAGGAGGTCAAATATAAATTTTCACTTCAAACATAAATTTATACGATAACAGTTTGAAATGTGTCAATTGTAGAGAGTATTTTAAATTTCATGTTTGAAGTATTTATTGAACTGATTGAGTATAGGTAACCATTTAATCAAGGTCAAATACAATCTAAAAAATATTATTTTACTCAGACAATATTATAAAGGATTACACAAACAAATGTGGATTTTAGTGGAAGAGATAACACGAGGAAGTAACCAATTTTTGCAAAAAGAAAAAAAATATGATAGACGAGTATAAACAATATATATAGCTGATTTGATTATAAAATTTAAACATAAAACAAATTACTTCATTGCTAATGAAAACAAACATCATAAGCTTACTAGCTTACTTTGCTCATAAAAAAAACTAAAACATTAAACTTTACTTAGGCTAGCGTTACTTTTGAATAAGAATAACAAAACATAGCTTATAACAAATAAACATAATCTTACATTGGTTTAAAACTAAACTTAAATAAAAAGCTTCATTTGTTAATAAAAAACTGAAACTAAAAGTTAAAACTTAACTTAAGCTATGATTATGAACAACAAAACATTGTTGATAGCACATAAACATGATCTTATGTGGTTTAAAACTAAACGTAAATAAAATAAAATACCCCCGCCGCAGCTAACCTGCAGACTAAGCGAATTTCCATTTGACTGATTGGATTTACACTGAAATGTCTACTTAAAATATAACATTTATTCACAATTTAAATAGAATTAGTTTAACAAGTACATAGGTTTGCTGCATCAGGGAGAGTAAAAATGTTTTTGTTTTTTTTGTAAAATGTTAATAGTTAGTAAGAAATAAAAACATTTTCCAAATTTGATCAAAATATGTTCATAAACAAGCAAACTACAACAGTTTACTTATTCTCCATAAGAATAACATGGGAATTTTAAATTTACAATTTTTGGAATTTTCTCTGTAACCATTAGGCGCATAATAACGCTTCAATATACTAAATTATTTGTTTTTTTAAGCTCTACAAAATGGTTTTGGAAATAAATTGCTAAATTTTATGTTTTTTGGGTCAAATATGGGAAAAACCTATTTTTACCCCATAAAACCCCCCGTAAACACCCGTTCCCAAGGGCCGATCATCCTGGATCGCGAACTCGTTCGAATAAACGTAGGTTTACACGTTTGAACCAAATTTCATCAAAATCGGATCATTTTTGCTCGAGTTATCGTGCTGACGGACACATATATATATATGAATTTGAACGGATGGTGTTTTTGGCCTCTAGGGACCTCAAAACGAAAAAAAAAATCGGTCCCGCGTCCAGGTCTTACCATGAGTACTACGGTAATAGCTTATTCCCTATATGGGAAATTCGCTAAAAGCTTTCTTTGCTAATAAAAACTAAAACATAATATTTATTTAAACTGACCTTGCTTAGGAAAAACACAACTTGACCTTAAAGCTACTTAAAACGTTTTTGTTTTGGCCTACTAAAACGTCTTTGAGACATGTAAATAAGTTACTGTACATCAAATCAGGTAATTTACCAACCTATTGTAAAATCGCAAGAAGTAATTTTAATATGCACACCACATCCATGTAATTTTTACGAGTAAGGGTAAAACTACTAAAAATGTGAACAAACTACAGTAGAACGCATTTAAAAGTGTTCAGATTGTGAAATTAGGCCAAATAATGTTTAACTAACCAAATATCAATTATTTTCTCACAAATATAATCATGGCCTGATGGGTCAACTGTTGGTCGGTATTAGCATGTTTTTTAAACGATAAAGTCCAATCTGGTAAAACTATCGACCTCCAGTCAACGTTCTAAAAAAAAAATTTTGTTTCCCCAAAATTTTCGTTTTTTAGTGTTGATTCTGAAAATGATATTCAAAATGGTTAGGTTAGGTTAGGTTAGTTTGGTTAGGTTAGGTTGGATTAGGTTAACTAAATAATTTAAATTAACCTAACCTAAACTTTCCGAGCTCACAGACGGCGCATCCACAGTGTTCGGCAGCCTTTTTGAGGTTATTAGTGGTCGTATCACATTGAGCAGTATACCGTTGAATTTGTCGTGCAATTCCGCACAATTTGAGTAGCCACAACATAGGGTTTGAAAAGGAAATATTTTTTTTCCGTTTTTCCCCTTTCCCGGGAAAACGGTGCTTTTCCGCAAAAAACTAATATCAGCACTAAATAAAGAACATTTTAGAAAAAAAAATTTTTTTTAGAACGTTGACTGGAGGTTGATAGTTTTACCTCCAAGGTTATCGACAGCATTATCAATGTTTATGTTTATATCTTTGTGAACATATAATAATGCTAGTCCTGTTAAGCGGTCTTCTGTCATTCTTGACCTCATCCAAGTTTTCACTCTTCGTAAAGTAGAAAAACTCCGTTCAGCAGTTACTGCAGAAATCGGCAATGATGATAAGATTTGCAGTAGAGTCTTCAACAATGGATAGGCATTGCTATCGCATTTATCATAAGCTTCAGTGGATCTGGTGATGTTTTTTTAAAACTTTTCTGTGTGAACTGGAATTCTTGAGTGAAACTATTTAAAATTTATTAATTTGGAGACCATGCTATCAAAATTGTATGACATTAAGCCAAAATATGTCTTGCACAATGGCTCAACAGTTTCTTTTACCGTTGTTACGTCTGGAATCAACTAGCGTCTAGACTGCCAGTGCAAGTCCGAGGATCGGAGGATCGTGGATCAGATCAGTAGATCACCCCGGCGAATCATACCGGCGCATCAGCATAGCTTATCTAACTGTTCGCGGAAAATTGTTATCTGTATCACTGTCGCTGTCAAAACGTATAATTTCTTAATTTGTAGATTAAATTTGAATTAAATATAATTAAACTATCATAACCTAACCAAACTAACCAAACTTGCTGATAATGATAAACTAGAATGAAGGTTTACTAATCGAAAAATAGCTCTGTTCTAAAAATAAAATTATAAATGTCTCAAATTCAATTTTACAATCTTTTAATTATAAAATTAAACTATCATAACCTAACCAAACCAACCAAACTTGTGATATGAAAAAAATTGTTGACAAAAAGTTAGTGCTCCCGGTGGGTTTCGAACCCGGCACCTTCAGGTTATCGGACCAACACGTTATCCACTAACACCACAAAGGCTCATGACTCAGATCCGTATCGTTGCAGTAATGGTTGACGTCACGCCATCGGCACTGAGCGGTGGTGGGGGGTTTTCGATCTGATCCACGATCCTCCGATCCTCGGACTTGCACTGGCAGTCTAGATGCTTATCTGGAATCAAGTCAAGTTTCCCTGGTAACAAATTGTTCATAAAGATAAACAGATGGATGACATAGATTGAACACAACGTCAACATTGACCTAGGATACTGCAATTAGACAAACCATTCTTTTATGAAATCGTGTTCAGTTGTGGTTACGTTTGGGGGCGCCTATATCTGCGCCCCCAAACGTGAAAATATCACTTTTATTTTAACTATGAATATATTGTAGTTTAAATTAACTAATATGGGAAATTACGATGTACATTTATTCAATGAGGGTGGGTAATTATCAAGGATAGAACTGATAACGGTATGGGTAATAAACATTGACAATTACGTCATTAGCTTTACTAGCGTGTTTACTTTTTATATTCCTGCTATATGTGACCAGTTCTTTTTTTCAAATGAATGTTATTTGAACCAAATAGCTGTTTTAAAACAAACTGTTATTGTTTTTACTTTTCTTTGTTTACGCATATTTTTATTTAGCAATTAATGCAGTGAAATTGATATAAAGGATAGGTGTGACGATTAGTTTTGATGTTAGGACACCAAAGATAAATTATGTGTACTGTGAATTTTATTGGATATTATCGTTTTATTTTAGGTCGTTTCTATTCAAACCTACTGGAAATTGTGTATAGTAGTTGTATTGTGGTGATAATAATTATGGAAGAGGCAGGTATGCTATGGAGGGTGGTATCGTTGACTAGGTCTATACACTTCTCAATTAATTGACTATTACTCTCTCTACTGTAGGCTACTTATAATCAGCGTGCGTCTGTGCGAATCGGCTGCAAATCTCACTTCAACGCTTTTCACATGGTAAAAATTGCAGAATTCCTGTTTTATTGTAAAATTATCGAATTTAAAATGCATATCGTATAGGTCCATGATGGAATAAAAACATATTTGGTCACACAACATTTGTTTACAATATGATTTTTCACATTAAAACTGCAAGAAACTTTGTCTTTATATGTGTAAACTAGCCGATCTGAATTGTACACGGTTTTAACTGACTTCTGAATTCCCGTACGTAGGAGGCGCTAACACCTCGTTTATTTTAATTTTACTGACCATGTCTTGCCTAATTTCGTTTAAAATGTCTTGCGGCGCAATATGGAGAAGTGAACATTTATCATTGTTAAGTTTCATTCCATGGCTCTTTGACCTGACAGACATAGCATTCAGCTCATTATTAATTACATTAAAGGCTTTAACGTACAATTTTTTATCATAGGACAGATGTATCTGGCAATCATCAGCATAGAAATGTTAATTGCACGTTTTTACAATTTTTGTAATGTCAGCAGTGCCGGTGTATATATTGTAGAAAATTGGACCTAAGCATGTTCCTTGGGGAATTCCTTTTTTTTGACAGGGGAGATGATACTTTACCGATGATTTTTGTTACCTGAGTTCTGTTTTTGAGGTAAGATTCAACCCATTTTAATGCTGTGTCATTAAATCCGAAATAGTGTAGTTTGGCTAACAACAATTTATGAGATAATGAATCAAACGCCTGATAGTAATCCAACATTACTAAAGAGCTGCATTTACTATTATCTTTTGTTTCAAAGCAATCACTAGGGTACGGTATACAAATTTAGAAGCGAAGTGTAAGTGCTATGAATTTGTATGCAAGTGTTTCCTGAAACCTGATTGTTGTTTAGGTAAAATGTTTTCTTTTTTGATAAATTCTGAAATCTGCTTAACTACAATTTTCTCTAGAACCTTTGATAATGTTGGCAGTACTGATATAGGTCTTAGATCTTTAACATTCCTCGGATGCTTAGTTTTGGGCAGTGGGCTCACAATACTTTCTTTCCAGGCATCTGGGAAGTATCCTGTAGTTAGAGACTGGTTTATCAAATGAGTAATTGCTGAAAGGCAGTGGATTCATTAATTTAATCATGAAAATATTTATACCATCATTTCCCTTTGCTTTTGAGCTTATTTTATTTATTGCTTTATGGGCCTCTAGTTCTGTTACATGAACAAATTTAAATGCTTTGATGCCGTGTTTTATATTGTTCATGTGATATTCAATTAAGTTTTGATCTGATCAATTAAATATTTTGTCATTTATCTGTCCCGGTCCTGAAGGCAATGGATTAGTAGGGTTGTACTGTACATGTATCTTTAAGCAGGGTAACTCAAGTAAAAATCATCCGATTTTGATTTGAAAATACTTTGACTTTGACTTGATGAAAATTGGTTTAAACCAGTGGCGTAGCCAGGTTTGGAGCAGTGATGGCCCAAGCCGCCCCAGCTCAGGGGATCAGGAGATCCATCCCCGGGAAAAAAATTGAAAAATAATAACTGTAAACTAGCGTTTTTATGCAATCTAGACATAATAATTTTTAAAATATCCAGCACGACAAGACTATGGGGACCGGGTTTTGTGTTGGGGGGGGGGGGGGGGAGGGGGGTTAATGAGGTGAAAATAGGGGTTTCCCATTTTTTATTCTCATAACATGAAATTTTGTAATTTCTTACCAAAAAGTTGTGTAGGTATGAAAAATGATTCTAGGGAAAAATTCCAAAAAACTGTCAATTTAAAATTCATATGTTATTTTTATGGTGAATAAGTAAACTGTTATTATAGTTCGCTTGTTTATGGATTTGTATACAATTTGATAGTAATTTACTCCTGGCTATTAACATTTAGCTAAAGAACACACTTTATAAAATTCCTTGTAACCTAAGAACAACCTAAAACAAAAATAAACCTAACCACAAAATAATAGGTTTATCGAAAACCTAAGAACAAAATAATATTCCTAATACTGTAAAAGTACGAATCTGACATGTTTAAGGGAATATTTGAGTAAATATCTGATCTAGAAAATGGAAATTCACTAAGTCTCTAGGCAGGTTTTCTGCAGCGGGGTTATTCAATTTAGGGTACCTGTAGTTGAGGTTGACAACTTTGTTGAATAAAAAAGCTCTGCCTGTGGCACCAGTAAATCTTGTACTTATCAGTTCACTTCGGTTGGTTAAAATTGTGTCGCATGAGGCACAAGAAAACAGCCTGGAACCTCCAATATGGTCCAAAAATATCCGCCCCATTGTTGCTTTCCTGAAAAGAAAAGAACTTAGTTTAAATAAAGTTTAAAATATAGACATTTATTAGAGTTCATCTCACAAAAGTGTGTGTAAACTAAATAGTTTGAAATGTGCATATCGGCACAAAATTAACTTGTACTCAGGAGTAATTACACTGTATTACAACATTATTTAGTGAAATTTAAAAGAAAATTTTAAACAAAGTTAGATTTGGTTTGAATTACAGTACTTTAATACTTTTCAATAAAATGGTTCAAAGTAGGTATTTTAAGCCAAGTATGAATGGAGATGAGTGTAGGATGAGTGGCGCGATCTTGTAGTCTTGTTAGTGACTAAGGCCGACTTCTTCCTTAGACACAGCTGTTAATTAGCTTATGCAGCTAATGGCAACTAAGGGACCTACAGTTTATAGCCTAGTGAAATACGAACCAAATTTCCACTTTGGTATATATACAAATTGGTCTAATTTTCAGGATAGTACTGCAGATAGTCGTAGTTCTCACTAGTGTGTGTTCTCACCTATTTTGTTGATAATTTCTGGCCACAACTCTGTTAATAGCCTCATAGCCATCAAATTAACTAGTCTACTGACGTCAGAAAATAATTTTTTTTTTAATAGGATCAACCATCCACTACCTTTAGCTTGGATTTTGAGAATTTACTATATCTAGGCTATATAAATAAAAAGATGAATTGGATGATTCTTTTATCGTTGTGTTCCTTGGTGCCTTGGACTGCTATGTATATTTTTTGAAAAGTAAAGACAAAATTTTTGAACGTTTCAAAGAATATAAATATGAGGTGGAAAATCAAACAGGAAATAAAATCAAGTTTCTACAAACAGATAACGGCAAAGAATATTGTAATGGTGAATTTGACAAGTTCTTGAAAGAAAGTGGTATAAGGCGAAGACTAAGGGGCGGTTCACAAGCTCGGGACTTCATAGTCCGCGACCAAACGTTGGTCCCGGACTATATAAGCGACGACCAAAAAATGGGTTCACGAGTCAGAGCCTAATGATGTGAAAGCCGGGCCCAGTGTAGGTCGAGACCAAATCCATAGCGGAGCCTAATGGCAGGGATTCGCAGGGAATTTCTGTTGAGACGTTGGTAACAACCAGTAACAACAGTCTGGAAACACATGTGAAGCCACTGCTGCTGACATACGCACTTCCATTATAGGATGATCGTGAAAAATGGCTGAACCAAAACGTCCAAAACGATTATTTTTCTCGTATTTCATTGTCCCAATGCTCGCATATGATAATCTATCGAAGTTTATTGATTTATAAACACAACAATCCACGTTTGTATGAAATCATATTAATGGAAGTCTTTAGTGAAATATATTTTTCTATGTGCATTATTATAATTTAATTAAGATGCATGACATAAAATAACCAGGTATTTATAACCGGATGAATGCCTATTTTGCATAAACGCCCGATAATTTAGGATTGTGATTTTTGGATGGGATAATTTTAACTAAACTTATTTAAATGACACAATTATTGAAACTAAAATGTATTTAGAGGTAATGATTATTAGATATAAAAATCGTGTGTGTGTGCTGGATTTAATCGTGTCTGTAACCTTAGAATATTCTTTCCGTTATCAACCACTCTTTAATAATCTAACTGTAAAATGTTGAAAAAAATATTCTGCAGTTAGCTCGTAATATTATTTATGTTAACAGCTAAAGTTTTTAATTTACATTTTGTGCTGTTGCGATTTTTAAAATCTGTTTCATTACAATGCGTTTATATTTAGGAAAACATTGTTTTTTTTCTTTGGGCATAGTTTCGAACTGAAAATTTGATTTGTTCTGTTTTCATTACCAAACAAATAGCTACCATCCAAGCTTTACTAACATCCAATAAATCACCAGTTTCTCGATGAAAAGTGCCATCAGCCAAAAATATTAGTGCAACTAACATTTTTTCCAATTTAGAATACTGTAATGGATTTTGCTGTCGGAAAATCCGTGCCTTGGAGTTAACGCCTCAAATGACTCATTGACGGCATCTTTGGAACATTTGAATCTATCTTTAAATTTAAATTCATCAAGTCATAAAAGGGTTTTAGTCATGATAACGAGCTGGTCCTATGCGATTTAGTGGAGTGATGGTACATAATTGTTAACATAATACAGTATAGATATTTCATAGCCATATTCAATACACACGGCGACCAGTGAGTACAACACAAGACGGTGATACCACCGCGCGAACCGTACTCAACGACTGACGGTTTGCTTGATGTTTCCCACGGCAAAAAACTATTTCTGATAATTATGTTAGATAACGATGGTTTAACTGTGGCTGATTAGTTATATTTATATTCAACGCATAATTTTGTCGTTAAAATTATAATTACATGGGGCTTATCAATAAAATATCTTTGTTAAGATACTACTTTGTTACGTGCATAATTTATCTGTCGTTTTAAGTTGTTTGATGATTTTTTTTTCATGTTTTATGAGCCTTTTTACCATTTTTACATATTTTTTTAATATGGTGTTGTGGGTAATGAAATTGTTCGGAATTTAAAGAGGAACCATATTAAAACATTACTTTTTAACAAATAATAAAAATAAAGGAGCTAATTAGATAAAACCGGCATCGTGTCACCTTAAACCTGCCTCCTACCAGGTCTGAGTTGGAGACCAAACACCATTGTTCTTTTGGGCCCGAACCATCTCATTTGGGCTCGGACTTGACTCGTGAACCCACCGGGACTAATGATCAGAGCCGGGACTATCTGTAATTGGACTCGTGAACCCAACTTTTAAAACCGGGTTTTATCCCTGCACTAATTGTGTGCCGCCTATCAGTTTGGTCCGCGGCTTATATAGTCTCGAGCTCGTGAACCCGATTTTTTAAGTCACGGCCCAAATACCGGTTATTTCTGGATTCTGGGCTCGGACTACGATAGTCCCGAGCTAGTGAACCGCCCCTAACAGTTCCATACACGCCGCAACAAAATGGTTTGGCTGAAAGAAAAAATAGAACATTATTGGATATGGCAAGATGTTTACTGATAGAATCAAATCTACCAGGATGTATGTGGGCTGAAGCTATTAACACATCTAACTATATAAGAAATCGATGCCCTTCAAAAGCTACTGAACACTTAACGCCATATGAAAAATGGACTGGAAGAAAGCCTTCAGCAAGACACTTGAAAGTATTTGGATCAAAAGTATTTGTATTAAACAAAGCTTAAAGAAAAGGAAAATTTTATCCGAAAGCGGATCAAGGAATATTTGTGGGGTATGCAAGCAATTCAAAAGCATACAGAATTTGGATGCCGCAACAAAAGCAGGTTAAAATTGCAAGAGATGTAAAAGTTCTATCAAAAATGTACTATGAAAGAAATGAAGATGTAAATGATTACAATCTTCTTGAGCAAAACGAAATAAAAGAAAGTGATAAAAAAGATCAAGATTTTTGCATTATTCCTATCGAACAGAGCGAAAATAATGATGACCAGTCTGATTTTGACACTATATTTGAAGAAAATGACAGTGAAATGGAAAATTATATTATTTTCGAAGATGATATTGAAAATCAACCTGATGATTCACCAAGCTCAAATGATATTGAAAATCAACCTGATGACTCACTAAGCTCAAATGAACATTTAGACACTGATGAAATAAGTTCAATAAGATGAAATGGACTTGCTGTTGAAGATGATCTAAGTATTGATCAAATGGACGTTTCAACTGCTTTTCTAAATGGAGAAATAAAAGAAAAAGTTTACATGGAACTTCCTAACAACTTTGAGAGATACCTCCAAGAAATAATGGTGGATGAGAGTGAAAATGAAGATAAAATCTATTCAACAAAACAAAGAAAATGATTACTGACTTAAAAAATTCTCAAAACAAAAAGGTTTGTCTACTATAAAAAAGGCAGTTTATGGTTTAAAACAATCAGGAAGACAGTGGTATGAAGCTTGATGAAAAACTAAAGGAACTGAAATTCATACCATCTCAAGCTGATCCTTGTATATACATTTCAATAGTAGGTGGATGCAAATCAATAATCTCTGTATATGTAGATGACATTTTAATTGCTACAAAGAACCAAAAGTACCGCAATTACGTCAAAGCCCAGCTCATGAAAACTTTTGAAATGAGAGATTTAGGTGAACTAAGCTATTGTCTGGGGGTAGAGTTCACAAGAAAGAATGGAAGGATATCAATGTCACAAACGAAATACATGAATGAATTCCTGAAAAAATTCAATATGACTGACTGCAAACCAGCTGTAACTCCACTAACACCAGGTCTAAAATTGGTTAAAGGACATGAAAAAGATTGTAACTACCCATACCAAAATTTAATCGTTTCATTGTTTGATGTATTTGTCAATAGCCACAAGACCTGACATAACACATGCTGTGAGTTACCTGAGCCAATATAACTCTTGTTTTGGAAAAGAACACTGGATTGCTACAAAGAGGGTTCTCAGATATTTGCAAGGCTCAAAGAACTTGTGTCTTGAATTTTTCAAAACAGGAAAGCCATTAATTGGAGCAGCAGATGCAGATTGGGCATGCAGTGAAGACAGGAGATGATACACCGGTTACTGTTTTAAATTTGGCGGTGCTGTAATCTCCTGGGAATCAAAAAAGCAGAGGACTGTAGCTCTGTCTACGAGTGAAGCGGAATACATGTCATTGACTGAAGCAGCAAAAGAAGCCATTCATTTAAAACAATTGATTAATGATATGGGAAGACCTCAAGAAGTCATTGAAATATTTTGTGATAACCAATCAGCTATTACAATGGCTAAAAACTCCATTATAGGAAGTAAATCTAAACATATCAGTATCAGAGAACATTTTATACGGGAAAAAGTACAAAATGGAGAAATAAAATTGAACTACCAACCCACAGAATACATGGTTGCTGATATTTTTACAAAAGGACTAAGCAAACCAAAACATCACAAATTCAAAAGTGCCTAAGACTTTTACCTAGCTAAGTTTGGTGAGGGGGGATGTTGAATATTGCAACCCAACTCATCTAGTCTGGATTAGTGATGGACCATCATATGTTTTTACATTGTACATATGAAGTTGTTTACTAAATATAATTCAGTGTTGTGTTTGTAAGAAAATAAAAGAGTTTACAACAATTTATTCTTTCATTAACTTTAATTTCACCAACACAGGGTGTGTCCACCAACCAGGAAAACTAAGAAATCCGTTCGAATTATGCGTGAGTTTCTTTTAAACCGGGAATTATGCATGAAATTTATATTTCTACCTGGGATTTTCAATTTACCGCGATCGGGCATGACAACAGTGATGTTTCCATGACCGCGGGAGACGATAATATTTCTACACACGGCCGCGAGGGATAATCAGAATTTTCCGCCATTGCAGAAGACGATGATGATATCTACAGAGTCAGAACATTGCCACGACCACGGAAGACCACATGGTAATATCCACACAACCGCGGGAAACAGCAAGAATTTGGCCGCGATCGTGGAAGTCGATGATCTCCACACGACTGCAGGATATAATTAACATTTTGCCGCAATCGCGGGAGGCTATTACAATGTTTTCACGACCGTGGGAGACGATTACTATGGCTACAGGACTGCGGGAGATACAATAATGATACGAGAAAAACGAGAGGGATGATCAGGATCATCCCCCAAGACGATGATAATCCACATGTCCGCGGGAAAAGACCAGAATTTTGCCATTTACGGAAGACGATTATCTCCACATGGCCGCGGGAGATAATTACCATTTTGCCACAATCGCGCGAGGTGATTAGCCTACTATGTCCAAACGACCAAGGGGGACGATTATGATGTCTTTACGGCCGCGAGTGGTGATCAGAATTTGCCCGCAATCTCGCAAGATGATGATCAGGGTTGGTACTGATTTAGGAAAATGAAATTTCCTGACTTTTCCAGGTTTTCCAGACTGATATTATACTTTTTCCAGGTATACCGTAAGACGATATCGAATACGGCATCCAGTTCAGATCGCGGCAATGTCAACCGGTACCGTGTGTGCGACAGGCCTGTTCGTTGTGTTTTTGTTAGTAATTGTAAAATGTTATTCGTGTTCGAGTTATGTGTTTCAACTATGACGACGCTACTTCAGCTGAATGTTCAACGTCTGACGATGGCATTATAATGCCGAAACGGCCGTAACTCAAGTTACAACAGTTTGAGCTGTAAACGAAGGTAAATACTTATTTTTAATTAGTATCACAGCTCAGGGGCTAAAAATGGATTTTAAGATATCGAATAGTCAGAATCAAGAATTATTAGAACAAATGTAGGCCTAAATAGTTTATTCATAAAACCAATAAGAAAAGAATTAAACATCTGGAATCTGGAAAATTAAGAGTACCAACTAACTTAACCTCACACTTTATGTTCTACTTGGCCTTGACTTGACACTAGCAGATAGACGATACGGTGCTTCTGATACTGATATATATCGATATTTTGCTTGCGATATCATCGGCTTATATCAGAAGAAACATGTGATATTGGAAAAATAACTACCATGCTTGTACCGGAGACAAAAAGTAGTACCAAACTAAACTATTAAATGTTTCAACTAACAGAATAAAATTTTTTTTATAAACTCCTACAAGTGCAGTTTTTTTTAGTTTATTAAAGGTTGAATCAGTATTGGTATAAATTCAATGAGGAATTGTATTCAGTATCGTATTGAAATTGAAACGATGAATGTAGGCCTATCCTTCCGCGCATCGCGGTGCTAGCCATGTTTCCATACGTGGGATTATTATCCCGAAAACAGGATTTTTAGAGCATGAGCAGGATTTGAAGGGGATGTGGGATAAAACAGGAGTTTTGGCTATGACATCCGTTTTTATTTACTATGCTTTACTTTAGTGAAAAACTAACCCCAATCGAAAAAATTACCTTAACAAAATATAATAGCAATGTTAAAACAACTATTTTTTTAACACAATATGTCTAATTTAACACTCAGAATTTAACATCAAAAATCTTAAGGGATTAAACGGGATTTCTTAACCCAGTGACCAGGATTATATTCTTTTGGTCGTGTAGAAACACTGGGAGCTCGGTGCGTTCAATTAAAGCCAGTAATCAGAGGGTGATGATAGAATGTCTGTCGATGTTCGATGTTTTTTATACCGATGGTAGGTTCCCGATGTTTTTGTTACATCGATGTTTTCGTCAAACTTTGATGTTTTTGACCAAGTATTGAGACGTAGATGCAAAATGTAGCATATCTGTAAAAAATGTAGTCTTTCAAGAGAAATTCCAGATTTTTTCCAAAATTCCCTGACTTTTCCAGACCAACAAAATTCCCTGACATTTCCAGGTTTTCTCTGACCGTACCAACCCTGGATGATAATGACCACACGACCACGGGAAAAGATCAGAATTTTGCCTCATTCGCGGTAGACGTTGATGATCTCCTCACGACCACGGAATATGTTCATATATTTCCGCGATGATTGAAGACAATAATTATGTCCACACGACCACGTAAATAGTCAGAATTTTGCCTCAATCGCAGGAGACGATTACGATGTCTACTCGGCCGCGAGGGATTATCAGAAGTTTACCGAGATCACATGCAAAAACAACCAAAGTTTTTCTTTTATTTTTCAATTAGCCTATTTTGGCACCCTCCAAAAAAATCCAATTGCCTGGCGCCCTAGGCACGTGCCTACCGTGCCTATTCGGTAAATCGGCCCTGGTTCAGTGTTAAAAAACATGCAACAAAGTAGTTTAGTTTAGGCCTACCTAATGTAATCCAAATTGTAGTAGGCCTTTTTAAAGATGTTAACTTCTCAAGTTGTGACATCAAATTACACATAACTTACAAGCATGCATAGGAAAGAATTTAATTATTTGTTTATATAACAATGGTAGGCTTACAAATAAGTTAAAATATTTATGTATTACAGTACCATATTACCCTATGGGTCGAGAGTACGCCTATTACTACGCTACATAATTAGTAGTAAACTAATTCTCACCTCAAGCTTACTTTTGGCAGTTAAGTTATTTCAGGGTATGAATTAATTTTTGACACAGTACACTAATTAATTACTTCAATGGTTAACTAAACGTCAAGTTAGATTTTTTGGTTATTGTAGAGTTGACTATTCCTGTCGAGTAAATTAAGTTAAATGTGTTGCTTAGTTTATGGTATGACGGATTCTTCACTTGACAAATGCCAAATGGTAATGGTAATAAATATGACAATTTCAAGACAAACTCTGAAACTCAGAGTAAAATTAATAAAGACAGCTGGGTTTGACATGTAGAAGTAGAACAACGATCGTGAAGACAGCTGGACGGCTGGACCTCTGGCTGAATCGCTGAATATTAAATGAATACCCCCGCCACAGCAAACCTGCCGACTAAGCGAATTTCCATTTGCCTGAATTGATTTTGAATTGAATGTATTTAATTAACATTAGGTTTTATGAGTACCTAGGCTTGGTGCTACAGGGAGGGTAAAAAAGTGTATTTTTGGTAAAATATGAATAACTTTGTATAAAATAAATAAATTTACCAAGTTTGATTAAAATATATCCATAAACAAGCAAACTACAACATTTTACAATATTCTCCATAAGAATAACATGGGAATTTTAAAATAACATTTTTTAGAATTTTCTCAGTAACCAATAATTGTACACACACAACACTTGGATATACTGAATTATTTCTTTTTTTAAGCTCTTTAAAAAGGTCCGGAGAGAAATTGGGAAATTTTGTGTTTAGAGGGTAAAAAATAAGAAAAACCAATTTTTACCCCATAAAACCCCCCGTAAAACCCTGTTCCCATGGTCCGATCATGCTGGTTCGCGAACTCATTCAAGTTTATCCCGCCTTACACCTTCAAACCAAATTTCATCAAAATCTGACAAAAATTACTCAAGTTATCGTGTTCACGGACACATATATATATATAAATCTATATATATATATATATAAATCTATATATATATATATATATATAAATTTGAACGAATGGTGTTTTTGGCCTCTGGGGACATCAAAATGAAAAAGTAAATCGGTCCCGGGCCTAGGTCTTACCATGCCACCTACGGTAATAGCTACTTCCCTATAGGGAAATTCGCTAATATTAATAATTGAGGTTTACTTTTGCAGCGACTGTACAACTTCACGCGATTCGGTTTCTGATTGGTCGAGCGAGTGTCAAATGAGAGGAAGCGGTTGTGGGAGGGGATAAAATGTTGGGGCGACAGTTGGCGTTAGCTGTCTTCAATGGTGTCCCCTCAAGAGAAGAGACTGACGATACAATAAAATACTTGAAAGTCTTATGAATAAAAAATATTTAGTTTATCACAGCAAAGAACACGCACAATAAAGTCCACTCACACTAAGACAGAACCAGGACCAAGCACTGATCTGTTGTAAGTTAAAGCGAGTGTTCCCATTGTTCCCTCCTGACAGTTTTATGACCTAGCATTCGTCAGATGCTCGACAGCTAACTTTAGCCATAGATAAAACATAGTGTTGGTTAAGGTCTTATTAGACGAGGCAGCCAAGTTGCGCAACCAGCCGGGCAGCCAGTCGCCTGTCTGGCTGCCTAGCGTAGCAACCAGTAGAGCAGCCAGTAGAGCAGCCACAAAATTACCAACTAGGCCAGTCTCTTGTTGACAGTGGAACAGTGTTGGTGGAACAGTTCTGTTGGGGAGAGACGCTGTCAGAATGCGAGATGAATATTTGCTTCTTCTGCTACCCATGAAAAAGAGAAGACGAAGGAAGAGGAGAATGCATATACATCCTATTCTTTCATCAAGAACAGAAAAGGATTATATTACACCCTTTTTGACGAACTTTGTGCAGATGATAATGAGATGAACGCACTTCCACGAGTGAACTGGTGTGTTTCCACTACTACTGATCAGTGTTTCCACACGACCAAAAAAATAATCCCGCTTACTGGGTCGAGAAATCCCGTTTTATCCCGCTTTTAAATCGGTGAAAAATCCCGTTTTATCCCGCATGATTTTTTTGGTACGATTCCTAGTATTTAACTTTACGTATCATTTTTATAAGTTGTTTAAACATCACTTTTATATTTAGCTACAGTATTTAAACAATTTGAGTTAGTTTTTCTCTAAAATTGAGTAAAAAAAAAATAAAAATAGTCGTCACAGCCGAAAATCCCGTTTTATCCCACATCCCGTTTTAATCCCGTTCAAGGTCTAAAAATTCCGTTTTCGGGATAATAATCCCGCGAATGGAAACACTGCTACTGATGTGTGGCAGCGGGCGACTGGCTGCCCAGTGTAATAAGATCCGTAAGCTACACAGGAGCGCGACCAGACCGAGCAGCCAGGGGATCCCTTCTAGTAGGTAACCTTTCAAACTGGTGAAGGGACCTACCTGCCCGATATTGAAATCGGTCAGGTTGGTTACTTTTCAATTTGGTGAGGTAATGAACGCCCTCTTGCTCTTGTGGTGGGGGCATCGACTGCTCTCATTGGCTGCAAGGTTTCTGGGGGAGGGAGTAGTTGTTATGGGGTAAACAGCGCTGCCAACCCAAAAGTCTGGAGCAATAAACATTCCCATACAAGGGTTTTGTGGGTAATTCCGATATTTACGGCTTCAAAGTAGGCAGTTTAAATGCCGAAGGAAATTATATGTATAAAATATCTAGTTTGAACTTTTCATAGGTGAAATACTGTAAATAACAAAATACGATATTAAGTCCATCATCTTGCGAACCAGTTTCTTTCCATGCCCCTGGGTCCGAAAAAAAACATAAACAATTAATAGTGGAACTATTGATTTTTAATCATAGAAAACCCTTATAAAAAAATAATTTATATGTTGGTTGTTCACATTGCAATTGCTTGTAGTCCGTCCGATTTGGATAACTAATTAATAGCTTAATTAAAGCCGGCATTTCACTGAAGGTTCTTAGACCAAAATATGTAGGATTATTATAATTATAACTGGTGAAATGCGTCTTAAATTGAAGTAAGAATTCGAAAAGTCAAATATATGTTTTTTGGACGAGTAATACAGTAGATCAATATATATGCCGATGCTTAGAGTGAAATCTGTGCACACCTTCAATTTGAGACCTCAATCATGAAAATCGGTTAAATTTATTTTTAAATATAAGAAGATTGACTCTATTAACGTTTAACGAAAACTATCACCGTTTTACAACAAATTGTGTAGCAGTTCCGGTTAATGATAACAACATATACTGAATTGAAGCTTTAGAATAGAAGATTTCAAATGTTTACGGGATAAAATAAAAGATTGGTAATCATATGGTTAAACGTACGGACACTGACTAGTTTTTAGGTGGAGGAACAAGCAAATTTTCACAGTTTTGAATGTAAACCTATTTTACTCGAAATATGTTTGAGATAGAAAAACACTCTTGAAATAAAAAAGTTGTGGATAATTTAATTCTACACTACCGATCTTCCATAAGATTTAAGATCCAAGCATTGTAGCTTATAAGTTACAGACCAAAATATAATATCTTGCATACTCGAATTTCTTCTGAAATAGCTTTAATCCCCTAAACCACCCTTGAATTTAGAACTTTGCAAAACCCCCAACTTTGTACATCTACACCATATACATGGATTGTCGTCCCAATGCAAAATGTTATTATTCTAGGCCTTATATATATGTTTTGAGATACATTATAGTGATCATTTGTCAGTGATATGCCAATCAATATAAAGGTAGGTCAATGGAAAGCATTTATCTACGTGGTGATCGGATGCATAGCAGCTTCAAAACGGATACGTCACAAAATTCGTGTTTGCCTATTAAATATATTGGGTATCTATATATTTAATATATGGATACCTAATATGCCTATAAACATTCAAACTTATGGGTCAATTTGCTGCACACAAAATCCAACAAAGTCTTTTAATAATATAGATACTTATAAGGTTAACAAGGAAACTCCAGAACCACTTGGGTGGAACACAAAAGTCGGATCAGGATAAAAACTACTTAGTTTTCCTATTTAATGCCTGAAGAATCAGTACACCAAATTTCAACGTTCTAGCTAGTCTGGAAGTTGGATTAGTAATGAATCATTGAGTGAGGGCTTTTACTTTTATATGTTAAGATTATTAGCTAAATATAACACATATGAAAGGTACAAAATAAAATCCATAAGTTAAATAAAGTAGTAGAATATATAAAAACGGAGCTCCAGACAAAGCTGTCTTTAAAATTTGAAATAGGTGTTGCTGCAGACTTTTAATTTTATTCAGCGAGATTACGCCCCTGAATTTAGTGTTACTCCCTCAATATGACAACACTGTTGGATAAATCTGATAAATCTAGCTCAGTGGGATAAATGCAGGGATGCAGCAGGCACTTGTAGAGCGAAATTTCCCACAATTTCCATGTAACCGTTTGACTGGTTTTCAGGTTATGTGACAAAATCCAAAACACAATTGAACATAGGATGCACAATAAATCGGATGAGTTTACTTTTGGGCTATATTGACTTAATTATTACATCAACCAATTAAATGTATTCTGAACTTGTGTACCCGTTGCGAAATAGAGCGTACTATAGCTAGCCGCCATACCCGTGCTTCGCTAAAGGAACGCTAAAGAGAATAATTTATTGTTATGTCCCATAGATCTGTTGTATGAAAAGTTAAATAACTCATAAAATAAATGCCTAACATTTGCATTTAAAGCATCAAACGAATTATTTTTAAAAACGTGTTTTATATCAACTAGACTGCTAGCAGTTACCCACGGGCTTCACCCCGTTCCGTTTGACTTCATAAGTATTAATTAACACTATTGATTGGATAAGTTAAGTTAACTGATAATCATTCAGCGTTGAACTTACTAAAAAACATCACAGATGCAATTTACGGACTTGAGAGGCCATCAATTCTGGACCTGCCCTTCAGATTTTTGTAAAGAGTTTCATCGAAAAATTTGTTGTTAACATCTATTTTTAATGTTCAAAAGTTACTTAAAAACTACTTAAAGTTACTCAAAAGTTATTGCATTGCATATATATCATGAAAACATCAAAAGAAATTTACAGATATTTTTAGTTGTATATATTGACATCAAGAGAGTTATCAAGATCCCTGCTTAGTTCGCTGACGATATAAATCTGTTTGTGGAAAGTTGCTTCCCTCTATGATTATGAGTCATTTTGCCTTAGGCTTAATACTTTGATTTGAAATGGCAACCATACAAAGTAGGTATTTTAAGCCAAGTACC